CAAGAAATAAGCAAACTTACAAAATTCATTATCTTAAATTTTTTATCCAAAACTTAAAGATTCATAATGACTGAGACAAAACAATAAAATTAACTCTTTAGGAATCCATAAATCTACTCCCAAAGAAACCCAATTGTTGAATAAATCTTTCCCTTACTCTCTCTAAAATCCTCTTTTTTCTTCACTTAGCCACACACACCACTAGCACTGCAAAGCCTTGCAAAATTCGACTATATAAAGGAAGAAAAGGAAGAAACCCTTAATTCAAGCAAATGGGGTTTGATCCCATTGTAGGCCATGGGACCCTCTTAAAAATAACAAATTCATATTTCATAATCTATTTAACAGTCATTGTCAAAATAGTAAATATACGAATATTCATATTTTTGTTAGAAGTAAAAGAATTAATTGTTCATAAACATCACAATTTAATCTAACAATTATAAATTAATATAAATAACTAAAAGTTTAACAATAGGGATATAACAAGTGAAACTTCATTTAAATGTTTATATTTAAGCAGGGATAAAAAAATCTCACATTTGTTAAATTGAGAATATATTAGACATATAAATATAATAAGAATCACTTCACTTATTGTCAATTAGTTTTAGATTAAATGTTCATCTTAAAAATTTAGTATTGATATCAAAACTAGTACTACTGCTATTTGTTGGTCCCTCAAGGATAGATTATCCCGTAATAGATTCATTATTCATACATGTGAAGAGAGTATTATAATAATAATAATAATAATAATAAAATCTTACATTTATTAAGTTTGGGTATACAACACACATAAATATATTAAAAGTCATTCCATTTAATATTAAATAATTTTAAATTGAATATCCGTAATCAATTTATCATAGAAAAGGACTTCAATATATATTGTATCTTGATTTTTCTTTAATTTTTTTTCCTCACAAAGAAGGAAATATATACTATAATGTGGCAAAGTCATTGCCAATTTGGCATTTTCTCTCTCCAATTTTTTCAAAGAAAAAAAAGAGAAAATTCCTGTTTAAAGTCTATGGAATTTAAAAATTATAAATACTTAAATTTTATAATTATCGAAATAACTTGATCTAGAAGGACTTACTGAAGAGACATGTGAAAATGAAACCAGGGGCACCGCCTGGCAAATCCAAGGGGCGCAATTTTGGGTTCCATTTATAGTTATTGGGGTACCCAAGTGTATTAGAATTAGCAGAAGATTACTTGCTATAATTAATTGATAAATAAGAAACAAGATACGGTAATTGTATCAGCTCGTAGATTTCAATGTGGTGGCGATTCATGTTACACCATTTTGCTGCTGCTGTATAGTAAAGGCATTTAAAGAAGTGAATTAGCAATCCCGTTTTCGTTTTTTTCAGAATTAAATACTAATTGATTTTATGTTAGTAGTTAAAACTAATCACAAATATTTGGAAAGTAAAATAGATAACATTTGTTTAATAATATTTGGCTGTTCCCGTTACTCAACAAGCGACGCTTTGGCCGAGTGGTTAAGGCGTGTGCCTGCTAAGTACATGGGTTCATCCCGCGAGAGTTCGAATCTCTCAGGCGTCGCAATGCTTTTTCCACTCTTCTGTTTTTTCATAAAAGTAAGAGAAAAAAGAAAAATTTGAAAACTTCTCTATTATCATTATTATTTTTTCTTAATTTCCACAATTCTAATATACCTCAGGTTACTCTCCACTAGTTTTTAACTCGTGCGATATACAAGATTTTTTATTTTATACGACTTTAATTTATTAAATTAATCCAATTTAAATTTGAAAATGAAAATATGCTTCAACTATTCTTAAGTAACTCAAATAAAATTTTAAATTTTAGTTCAAAAAATAAATATATAATTTTGTTGTTAAAATCCATTAAGTATTACTCCCAAACCCAAATTACAATACCGAAAAACAAAAACAAAGTATAAGTTGAATAAGTTTTCCTACATTAGCATATTCAATGATTATCTCAATTCTTATTATGGCACAAAGATATCATAATATAATTAAGAAATTGTTAATATATAAATTCAACGACTTAAAGGAGTATTAATAAAAAAATACATTAGATACTAAAAAAAAAATTAAAGTTCTAGCATTAGTTTGTCATGAATCCCAAGTAGTGTACGTATAGAGACATAAATGAGTGTTAGAATTTTTTTTATTTAAGAAATATATTCAATAAATTATGATGAATGTAAATAATGATTATATACAATTCTCCAAAAATGAAGGATGAATTAATAACAGTTTAACAGAAAATCTAGCAATTAGTAATTGCTCTGCTGGATCACAATTCAAGGATTCGAGATGACAGGCTGGGCTTGACATGGAACAACTGAATTGAGGCCTCCAGCTAATTAGATTGATGTTCACGCCTAAAGTTTAAGTTAAACAAGAAGATCTTAGTTAAAAAGGTTACTGTCTTTTTTTAAGAGAGTACGAAATTGAATTTAGTATTCGATTGATAATCGAAAAATATATTATTTTAAAAAAATTTCAATGAATTTTTTTTATTATTTGAATAAATTATTAAAAATATTTTTTACAATTTAAATCATTTTATAAAAATATTTTCCGCCTTAAGGTAGAGTTATTTTTTTTTTGAATAGCATATGTATAAATTCAAAGGAAAAGGGAGACCCCAAAGAACATCATAAGCTATGGCTGACAAACAGAATCCATAGCACCCTACATCCATCAAACCACCTCAGTCCAACACAAGCCGGTCCCCAGGCAAAGAAAGACACTCGAAACAAAATCACAAAAAGCGACAAAAACAGCGTGCCCCAGTGTGATCGCCCATTTGAAGGATACGGGTAAAATAAGGAAAAGTTGTAATTGACGCCATACAAACCCATCCATTAACAAAATATACCAAAAAAAAAAATGGAACATTTTTTCCTGTATGCAAATAAGTGACCACAGCAAGAATGCAGGAAATAACAGTAAGAGGAGATACAGATGGAGTTTGTTGTGTGTTAAAATAATAAATAAGAGTTTATTACAAAATAATAGTGTCATTTGATTTTTACATTAAAATTAATAATGAAAATGAAAATAATTTTTTTTATAAAACACCTAACCAGATATAATAGTGAAAGGAAGCTATAATTTGCAAAAAAAAATAAAATTCCATCTCAATTATTTTTTAATTATAACGTTATACAAATATTAATATTCATCAATTGTATAAAACATCCAACTTGAAAGCATGAGGGAGAAAAATCAAGAGCACAATAGATGGATGTTGACGAGAGAAATCGATAAAATTAGAAAGAGTTGAATGGTGAAAAAGAGAAATCAAAAACAGAGACGAAAATGAAGAGAAATTGTGATAGATGGTTTAATTTATTGAAATGGTTTCAAGGATATTTTTATCAAGCCATGATTAAAAATGGCTAAAAATAGTTAAGTTTATTTTGATGGCTATTTTTAAAATCAAGTTATGAAGATGACCATTTTTCACAATTTTCTCTTTATTATGCTAAGCTTAGTGTAATAGTAGTTTTTCTGTTCTCCGAAAAATGTCTTGCGTTAGTGTAGGACATTTTACATGATCAGTGAGTATTTTTTTTGTTGTCTCGTAAAATGTTTTACATCTAGAATAAATTTTCTGCCATCCAAACAAGTATAAGTCTTCAAACATTTTTTGAAAAATATTTCATATCAAAACAAACTGATCCTAATTATTTGAATAAAGAGACACTTGCCTATACTATTGAATCAATATTTAGATATCAAAGAAATATTAGTAAATTATTTGTTAGACCTTTGATGAAAATAAGTTATTAGTAAAATTCTCACTTCACAAGTTACATTTAGTGTGTTTATTATGATAATCAATCTCTACATTTGGAAATGGTTTATTAAAAAGGTAACCGAAAGAAGTTCATCAAATCCTAAGATACCATAGGAATAACTATTTTCATAATATGGTATCATTCAAATTTTTGATGCATGGGTTTGTTTATACTCTAATCTAAATACAATTAGGCAATTAAAATTTTTTAATGGAAATCAATTGTATATATTGAGTTTTAACTTAATTTGAGACCTACTAAGTGTATATCTAACAATTGCATAGAGATTATAAATTACATATGCATGGATATTTACTAGTAATTAATCAAACAATTTGAGTGGTGTTAATAAACACTTGAACATTTACTACTAAAAGCAATTGTCGGCAAAGAAAGGCCAACTTATTAAGCATGTGGCTTAAAAGAAAAAGAAAGAAAGAAAAAGGCAAAGCATGAAACCTAAGTTTCAAATTCCAAAAGGGATGAAAAGTGTAGTGAATATTTTCTTTAGGTGGCCTCAAATGAATTCAATAAGCTGACATCAATTACATAAAAAATGCACGCAATCATCACTCACTACATCCTCCCTATAGAGAAAAAACAAAACCCAACCATCCATTTCATTACTTGTCCCAAAGAAATAAATAAATAATTAATTAATTTCACGAGTTAGTTATGTATGGAATGTTAAAAATCTAAAGGAAAATGATTAAGAAAAGCACGACTGCCCTCTCAATCTTCATTGCGTCATTCAGTTGAGAATATGGTGAAGTTCTTTATTATTTCACAAGTCATTGTCCAAAGAGCTTGCTTACTACTCACTTCTTTCATCAAGTTGTTTTGATTTGGCATTGTCATCTCCAGGGAAATCAATGAAAGGTGACCAATGTATATAATTACTCTTATAGAAGGCCAGCAATTAGGGCTAAACTAACAACTAACAATTAATTTAATCATATTTATAATGGAAGGATCCAAATTGAATATTGAAGCCAAAGGTGACTAAATACTCCCTTATGGGTGACTCATTAATGGAAATGGACGTCTCAACCGTTGAGCTAAGTGATTAACATCTCAATTCCAAGGAAGAATGATATACGACATATCTTTTCATCAAGGTATAATTCTTCCTAATCAAGGAAAAGAGCAATAAATGTCATAAAAGTGTACCAAAAAGGGGGTACTGTCATAAAAGGAGATCAAGATTTTTATTATATTTTTGTCAAAATGTAATAATACAGTCTATTAATTTCTTATGTGTTTCTCTCCACTTGACATTGCTTTGCTTTGTACATCAACCTCAATCTCGATCTCAAGAAACTAACAATTTTATGTGCCGACCGCCTACTAATAATCCTTAATTTCTCTAACACTGTTTACATGGACTATTCACATGCATAGGAAGTACTATAATTAATTATTTCTTCTCATGATGCTTCATCAGTCAATCCAAGTACTCCTTTGCCGCTTCATCGGAAACATACTTACAACGATTTTCAAGGTCCCCAAATGCGACCCTTTATTCCAAATTCAGCTATTCTACAACTTAGACAAATGTTTTTGATGAGAGACCAAACTCCTAATGAATCCCACAAAACCTGTGAGCCTCGAGGGAGATTTGGTAACTCGATAATAGGTTTTTGCTGATTTTTATAAGGATTGCATGACTAGGATATTTGTAGGGTTAAGGTTTGGAAAGGGACTAGAAGATAAAATTTGGAGGCAGGGCGGGGTAACTAACTGTTTACTTATTCAGCTTTGGAAATCAAGAAAAGGGAAGGAAGAAACATCCTTCATCAAATCCTCCAAGTCCCATTCTCCAACTTTTATCTCTTCTCCTAGCCAAAAATTCCCAACGGCGCCGGCTATGTTTTCTGCTTTGTAGTTGTTGTTATTAGTACTATTTATGATATTGAAAGGGTTATTGATGTTCCTATCATATGTATTTTCGGTTTTAAGGTTTTCTCCAATGCTTTCTAGAGGAGGGACATATAGCTCCCTTTCTACCCCATTGTCAACACTGCCGAATATCTCATTTTCCCCATAGAAACTGTCACCATTTACCCCAACCTGTGTCACACATGAGGCCGGATTGAAGCACCCAGTCGCCCCAAACACGTTTAGCCCTGCCTCCAGCGTTGGTAAAGACTTGCCTGTGTGATTCAGAACCATGGATTGCAAGGAAGAGTTGGGTGAAGTTGATGATAAATCCATGTACACAGGCAAAATGCCTTGTTCTTGCATTGACATGAACCCAGCCATGGCATTTTTGTTAGGCTCCGACGATGAATCACTAGCGTTTGGTGACGGAGTGGATGACAAATTCTTCAGCCTTTTCTTTATCGTTGAATTCCAAAAGTTCTTTATTTCATTGTCTGTACGACCAGGCAGGCGAGCCGCAATTTGAGACCACCTTTGAGGGTTTGAGCAAGAAAAATTGAATCAGTACTTTTCATCAATAGTATCCATGGAAAGACTACTGTGTTTAGGTTTTGCATGTTCCTTGCATAATGCATGGAGTGCATGGATGCTTTAAACTCTAAGCAAGAAACCGTGACTTGAGTTTGAAATTAAGGACAGAATAAGCAAAGAAATTCCAATGCCATTTTTCAAACCAAAGACTTTAAAACAATCACAATGTGTGTATCATTTAAATATTTAAATCTAGTCATATTAATAGCTAAAGATGCATTGCATGCAAGCAAAAAAAGAGCTTTAAACAAATGCAGGGTTGAGTGTCTTCAACTCAAAGAGTTGGTATATAGGTATCAGTAGATCTCTGCCTATTAGGGTGCCCTTTTCTTTTGTAATTCGCCTTTAATAATCTTTTTGCCCTCAAAACGACAAAAGAAATTAAGTAAGAGGAAGTGCACAATCCTTCCCAATTCTTTATTCGATTGTAGATTCTTGATACAATAATATCACAAGAACTTTGATTGGCTAAATGCACTCTATTGTAATGTCCCTTTCGACTTTATATGTCCATAAAGAGTATCCAAATACTCAAAATTAACAAATTTGGGCTAATTCATGTGTATGTATACTGTACTTTCTCCACAAACTTTAAGTGATACTTACTTTTGGCTCCATCACTCCACCAAGGCACCAACTACCCTAAACCCCTTGATGCACTCGAGGCTTAATGGTAAGCACGTGCGAAGCAACCAAGCAGACAAGAAGAGCTCTCGATTGGTGCTTCTCTTTTGTAATCCTCAAATCACTCTAAAAGTCTTTCCACATCAGCTTCCCACTTAGCCTAATTTTATGTGTTTTAATTTTTTTTCCCTCAATTTTGGAACCTTATGTGAAATTAAGGACTTTGCATACGCGTGATATATATAAAATTAAAAACACAAAAACAATTTGAATTGGAGTTAAGAGAACAAAAATATTGCTCTATCATTTCACCCTAATCAGGGGTTGAGGGAACTATAATGGCGTACAAGACTAAGATCAATGAAATGATATAGCAGGTAGAAAATTAAAAAGTTTCACCTCATGAAGCAAGCAATTGGAATATTTCTAACTAATTATCATTCCTCAGCATTAAAATGCACGTAAAGTGTAGTACACCTAGCAAAAGAATATTTTATCAGCTAATAACCTAAAAATAAAAGAGTTTGAAATTAGAAAGCATGGAAAGAGGTTATGCAGACAAACATAAAACTAGCTATCTACAACCAGTTTAGGTGATTGGCAGTAAGGGTTTTGCATAAAAATTTTAGATTCCGGGTTATAGAACTGATCTCCTCGAGTTATGAAAAAAGATTAAATTAAGACAAATTATAGATGCAGCTCTTTATAATATATACACCTCTCATCTTGCTCTTTCACTTCCATGATTTTAATCACATAAATGTATCTGGAGTCCATGACAATGAGCCTAGATTGCAAGAAAACGAAGTTATTATTATGCTTGTAAAAGCTAGAGTGGGATAATACATAGATAAGCATGCATGGAAGAAGGAAGATGGAGAAGCACCTGTTGCCAAGAATGGAATGCAAATGGACGATGAGCTCTTCTTCCTGAGGCGAAAACGCCCCTCGTTTGAGATCAGGTCTCAAGTAATTGATCCAACGAAGCCGGCAGCTCTTGCCACACCTCTGCAGACCAGCATTTCTAGCAACATCACTCCAACAGCCCTGGCCATTGGTTATCATATAGTTCATGAGCTTGTCATCTTCCTCCGGTGACCACAGCCCTTTCCTAAGCTTATTAGTACCATTATTGTTGCCTCCATTGCTACCCTTGGCAGATGGATCAGGCTTCCTCATCATGAAATCAATCTCCCAAGAGAGAAAGACAGAGCTTAGTCTTTGGATCCTATAATAATAACCTTGCTGGGTTATTTTTGTTGATCCTAACTAGTTTGATATAGATTAGTGGACACTTTATAGAGTGAAAGAGAGGGAGAGAGGAGGCTTCATGGAGTGGAAATGGTGATCATGATGATGGTGATGGTTGTGGGGTTTGCTTAGAATATAGGGAAGAAGAGAGAGATAGAGGGTAGGGAGAGAAAGAGAGAGAGAGTTGGTTGATGGGTCTAAGTAGAAAACGGTTTGGAAGGGGACTTGAGAGGGAGAAAAGGGAAAAGATGACAAGAAAAGAAGAGTGGTGGTCGTCTTGTCTTTGACTCTGTGACCTTGTCCTTTTTTTTATCTTACATTTTTCTTCACTCACAAGGGAATCATCATAAATGAATCATAGAGACAAACTGGAAAAAAGAAATTAAATAAAAAAAGAAAGAAAGGAAAATCTATAGGCTTTGTTTTGTTACCAAGCCAACTTATTTGCTTCCAATTCACATAATCGTCTTTTCTTTTCTTTTCTATCTCATGAATCCACACGTGTATTTGAAGCTATAGATATGGGTATGGGGACTAAATAATGGAAAATAATTTGATCATTGATACACACTTGGCACATGTTTATTAATCTAAACCATCCAAGTTTTCAAGTGGTGTTTGGGCATATAGATATTTTCATTTAAGTTTTGATCACGGAAAGAGGAAAAGTAGAGAAGACTCCATGTTACTTTGTGATATATATATATATATATATATATTATAAACCTCTTATATTTTTGTCATATGGAGAAAGGTGACAAAAGGAGGGATACGAACATTTAAACCCCTATTTTTGTTCTTTTAAAACAATATTCTTTGATGGAAAGGGGGTTCACGTGTTTCCATCACAGCATTCTTTTTCATTTAGAATAAATTAAAATCCTAGAAAAGAATAATAACGACCTCCTTCTCATGCTGTGAAATTAGGCTACTACAGAAACAGTTTTGAGTCAAATATTATTCTAACAATATATTTCCATCCACTGTCTGCAGCCGCGAAATCAACTGTGGCTGAACACGCATAGCATTTAAGCAAATTGGTTGGCAATAACCATTCAACTAATTATTGTCTTGATTTATTAGTCTTATAAACTAGCTAAAACTTGAAAAAAAAAATCCTTAGTATTAATTAATAATATGGTTAATTATCAGTGGATGGTTTAAGCGAAAATCAGCATTTTTTAAAATGCTATTTTGATGCACTGCATGAACCTCATGTAAGGTTCTCTAATTTAAGTAGGCAATTAATTATCAAACATCTGAATTGTGATTCAAGAAAATGAGTTTCTTTTGCCTTCAGTTTTCAGCTATTGACATTTCCAGTACTTAATGATTCATAATTTATAAGAAGAAAAAAAAGATATGGAGAAAGAAATGGATCAACAGATCATTGACTTTTCCAATTGCACCTTTTAGAAGCAAGATAAAGGAACGCTACCCTTCTTAATTTTTTCATCAGGCTTTCAGCATATCTAATACAGTTGAATATAGCCTTTGCTATTCATCAAAAGAGGAAATTAAGGTAGCATTTGAACCAATGCCAAGGCACCGCGAGTTTTAGCTTCTAGAATGGAGAAGCTAGCTAGCTAGCAAAATTATCCTTTGCTGTATGATTTCCTATCTGCCAAACAGATTTATGTTGGTTTAAGTGGTTATGGGGCACTCTCCCACGTCTCAAGATTACATTGGAGACAGACAAAAGCCAGATAACACTTTAAAGGGCTTTACCTAAATTCAGACAAACATGTATATGCACAAAAGAGAAACATTGTCAAAAACCAATAAAATAGTCTCCTTAATCATGTATCCTGTGAAAGTAGAGCCCAGAATCATGCGCAAGGATTGGTGAATATTGTCAAAAGAATATAGTTGGATTACCATTCCTAAAACGACCCTTTTTAAAATTTTAAATTGATAAGAATAAGAGAATTTTTTATGAAATTAAGTTGGCATCTAAGTATTTGACTTAATGAGAGGAATATGTGTCTCCCTCTTCAAAGAGTATGGTTCAATTTTTGCAAAGAATATTTCGAGAGAAAAATCTTGAATGCACCAGGTCACTGTGGAGGGGTGCATCCTTAAAATCGACCGTGGGGTGAATTAGAAAAAGGAGTATAATTAATTTCGGTTTTCTTTCTTCTAGAAAAAGAAAAAAAAAGAAATAGATTTTCATAATTGTTAGTTTTCTAACAATATATTTTTCTTCTCCTGAACTTCAGAACAGATACTTTCAATTTTCTTTTAAAGAGATTATACATGAATCATCATGCTAAGATCCTGGCTCTACACTTGTTGGATCTTCCCAGATATATTCCATGTATCCCTTTTTTCATTTTTCATTGTTTTACCATGTACTCCCCAGGTGCCAAAAAGTTAAAAAGGAAGATCCAAAAGTTGCTAAGGCAATACTAAAATGCAAAAAAAAAAGAAAAGAAAAAAGTGAGAATAGCAATGTGATAAATTGGAAGTCCCTACAGAGGGGACCTAGCTAAAAATATGACAACTCCATCAAGTGGGAAAGGGGAGGACCCAAAGAGATTCCATTTATGTCTGATATCAAAAACTACTTATGGAACCCATATATGTTTGTGGCAACTTAGGATTTGTTTAGGATTTTTGTACCTTTGTAGGTCAAGGCAAATTTTTACAGCCAAAAACATAAGATAACATCACTGCTTTTTTGTTATTTCGTTAAAAAACATCATATTGTATTGACTTCAAATAATCTCATGATTACGATGGTTTTAGTGAGAATTAGCAGGTGCAACCTACTTTCTGAGAGAAGCTTAAGAATTGCTTATGTCAGAAACTAACCCTAGCAATAACCTCGGTTGGTTAAGAGTAGGCAATTTCTCTAAACATTTACCTTTTTTTCTTCTTTTTTTTTTAAAAGAAAAAGGAGAGATTAATTAAAACCTGATTCTTCCTTGAACAGGAGGATTTATACACTTATATGCCAATATTGAATTAAATGTCCAGACAATCATTTACAGACCACTCTTAGATTAAATTAATGTTATATGCTCTCCTCTCGTTAAATAGAGAGAGAAGACAACCAAAAATATGCTTATTCAAATAAAAATAAAAACAAAAGTTAAATTAAGTTATATACGTAATAAGGTCATTTGGATTTAGCTCAAGTGATAAGAATGGGATGAACTTTCTATGAAATCAATCATAACTTCAAGCTAGAGTGCTTTTTCTCTTGTACAAATACTCCATGCTCAATATTCTCTCTCTTAATCAGTCACTCTTACTATCAAGTCTAGAACTACATAAATTGTGAACATCAATGGGTTGAAAGCAAAAGTAGGATGACAATTATCCAATTAAACTCTGATTCTGTATTCAAAGAGCACACGGGGAAAAAGGTTTCTGAGAAACATTTGGAGGTACTCTAAAGGATTCAACTTTTCCAATGCTTTCCCCTTACTGTTGTCTTGCCAAAGCATTCCTTTGTCTCTATGTGTGAACATTACTCCTGTAATAAGCAAAGATACCCTTAGGGTGATGCGAATGGCCCAATAGGGGAAGGCCATCCTGGTGTTCAATAAAGCAATACCGGCAACTGAAATCATCGTAGTAAACAGCAATGATAAGATTCCGGAAATATTCTTGGTAAAATAAACAAATATTATCAGTAATTTTTATGTCTGGTTCTCTTCGGATTTCATTCAGCGTGAAAAAATAATGGTAGGACAACAAATATGTGTTCAAATGCAACAAATGGGGAAGACTTAAAACAGAACGACTGAAAAATGTTCACTCGAACAAGGCTGATGAAAGAGAAAGGTAGAAATAGGTTGGTGCTGACCGCACGCGATAACAAGTCCGAGGTCAAATCTTATGTCCTCCGTTTTTAAATAATTAAAAAAATTACTCAATATTATATAAACTTTTCAAAATAAATGCTAAATAGTTTTACTTATGAAATTTGTGTTTTGAATTGTGTTGAATTTTTTGTACGGTGTTGTGTTAAATAAAATTATATTTTTTATTTACATTTTATACTTTTCTAAGGTAAATTTTTGACGAAATTTTAGATGAAAATTCTTTTGTTTTTTTTGAAAGATAGGCTTTTTGTATAAATATCAATAATATGTACATTGGGGAATGAAGGAACGGCCAAGACCGCCTTGTCTCAAAAATAAAGAAAACCTACAGATAGAACAAAAGAAAGCTGCAGATTAAAAGATGCCTCTCAAAGAGTGTTAGCATCCATAAGAACGAAACACCATTTTCACTATCAATATTTACATCATTCCCAATAAACCATAACAGCTCACTTTGTTTATCACTGCCTGCAGGGGCGGAGGGTAAGCCAACAATGGGGGGCGGTGGCCCCCCCAAAATTTTGGAAAATACTTATTTTTTATATATATATTTTATCAATGACCCCCTCACAATTTTTAAAAATTTTTATTTATCATATATTATTAATGACCTACTCAAAATAAATTTTTTATTTAACAGCTAATATAAATAAAAAAAATAACCTTACAAACTTACTTAATTTTACCTTAATTTATGTTTCTTTACACCTCTTTCTTTTTCTCTTCTCTTTTCTGTCTTTTTATTTTTATTTCTCGTTTTTAGTAACTCACCGTAAAAATACACTTTATTCTTTAAAAGAGATTTATGAACTCGTGAGTTTGAAAACGGAAAAACAGAGATCACTCACCACCATTGTATAAAATTAAGAGGAGAAAAAGTTTTCTTTTACCTTTTTCTTTCTATTTATATTATTTAACTATTATGTGAAATCTTATATTTCGTATTTAATTATTTATATTTTATATTTTATAATTTTATATTTTATTTTTTAATTTAAATATAAATAAATAAAAATATTGAATGTTGACTACATTATTTTT